AGAGCTCTAGCCACCAAACCCCTCCAGTGTGCTGCCCAACTCCCTTCCACTTCACCCCTCTTAAATCTTCTCTCCACCATTCCCCAATCAAGTGCACCAAATTCGGGTGAGTTAACCACATATTCTCAAATCTAAAAGGCCGTGGACCAGAGGCTAGTGTTCTCTCAAGGTTTAAAAATGAGCATGTAGCCACCTTCCTAACCTTTTTCTAATTCTGCTTTTGATTGGAATTTGGGTTTTAGAAAGCGGGCTCTTAGAGACTCTGAATTGGACTCCATTTCTAATTTGCTTAAGATTCTGGATGAGGTAGTTATTGACCCCTCTAGATTGGATAGTAGGATTTGGGTTCCTACTCCTTTGGGTATCTTTTCTTGCTTGTCTTTTTTCAAAGAATTAACCCAATCCCATTCGGCCCTTGGTTTTCCTTTCCTAGTCTTGGAAGTTTGGGGTAGACCAATTCTTCCTAGAGTAGATGCTTTCTGCTGGGAAGCTATCTTAGAAAAGTGTTATACTTGTAACTTACTTCAAAAGAAAAGGCCTAATTGGTGTTTATCCCCGCACTGGTGCATCTTATGTAAGAATAATGGTGAGAACTGTTATCACTTATTAGTTTCCTGTCCTTTTGTATCAGAAATCTGGTTTTGTTTTTTCTCTCTTTTTTGGTTGCAGGTGGCCCTCCCCTCCAAGTGTGCACAGCTTGTTTAACTCTACTTTAGTGAGGGGTTTAAAAAAGAGAGGTAAAATTTTGTGGAGATGTGTTAGAGCAGCTGTATGCTGGACATTGTGGGAGGAAAGAAATCAATGAACTTTCCATGAAAAAGAAAAAAATAACGAAGCCATCATTGATTTAATCTATGTTAAGGTGGTTCATTGGGTCAAGACTATGAAACTCTTTGAAGGTTATTCGGCTGGAGATATTATTAGAAATTGGAAAGATAGCTTGGTCTGCTCCCTTGATTACTTCCCCTATTCCAGCTTGCACTCCTCCAACTTTGGGGTTCACTAAATTGAACTTTGATGGCAGCAGCGAAGTTAACCCAGACCCTTCAGGTATAGGTGGAGTGTTCAGGGATGAAGAAGGTCGAATTATTGCCATGTTTTCAGGCCCTATAGGTTGGGGGAATTCTTTGAGAGCTGAAATTTTGGCAGTTCTGGAAGGGAATAAAAGAGCCCAGCAGCTGAATATTATAAAACTGCTGGTGGAAGGCAACTCTAGGTTGGCTATTAAGTGGATGCAGAAGGAAGATTTCAGTCTGTGGAAGTTCTCAAATGAAAAAAAGAAAATTAACCAGCTTACTCAAAACATGCAAATTCAGGTTCAGTGGTCCAAGATGAGTGCTAATTCTCTAGTAGACTCTTTGGCCAAACAAGGGGTGGGAAGAGCTAGTTTCTTTTGGGCATTGTTGTAATTTGATATCTACTTTTAGGGAGGGTTAAGAGATTTTACCCCTCCCTTCCTGTTGTATTTTTCTCTCATCTTTTCTTCTTAATAAAAGTTTCTGTTATTGATAAAAAAGAATGTTCCCATAATTTTACAAGGTTTCTAGAGCACAGGTCATACCCAAGGTTCAAAATTTTGGTATGATACACCTCGTATTGTATTGTATCAGTGGCTTAACGATACGCCCCTACAGGGGTCCTATTGGTGTCTGACCTAGTTTAGGGGGTAGACCAGCCTTAGACTGATCCCTCTGAACCAGTTTCAAAGAAAAAAAGGGGAGAGCGAGCTTCAATACAGGCTGATATGCCCCTACCGGCATATCGGCCTGTGTCGATATTTTAAACCTTGGTCGTACCTGATAAAAGGCAAGAAGGGCGGAAGAATGACATAAATGGGTTTTCAAGGAGAAGCTTTTCTAGCCCTAGGCCCTAGCCAAAACTCCTGCATCCCAGCCATCAACTGCTAGCCCATGAATGCTGCAAATCATCTTGGCTCCAAACTTATCCCTATCCAATGTCAATCTCCACAACCATTTCCCCGGTAGAGCCTCATTTCTCTTTTGAATATTTCCTGTGCCTAACCCACCAACATTATTACTTTTAGTAACCACCTCCCAGTTGACTATGATCTCTTTTCTCTTCCCCTGGTTCCTGCAGGAAGTTTGTAATTAATACTTTCTTGGTAAATTGAAAATATAGATAACAGGACGATTTAGTTTTGTGGAACAGTTCTCTTGATAGCTAGTTAACTAGGTTTTTTGAACTGAGGCTTGGTAATCAGGTATGGGTCTTAAGGTCCGTTTGATAACAGCTGTAGTTGCTGAACTAAAAGACTTATTGCTTTGTCTTTTAGTTGGCATTTTGGCAAATAATTGAATATTAAAATTTTAGGGCATAGCAGTGATTTAAAAGGCGCGCCTAGGCGCTCAAGCGAGACGCATTTTAGGGTAGGCGCCTAAGTTAATATTTTTATTAATATTATGTTTTATAATTTTTTGATTTTTTTGATTTTTTTTTTAAATTGTGCGCCTTGTCTCAAAAAGGCGCGCGCCTCGCCTTGCGCTTTTTTGCGCCTTGCACTTTTAAAACACTGGGGCATAGTAATCTATTCAACACAAGTCTCAGCAATTAAGGAGCTCACGACCTCCTAAAAAACTTTTTTTTTTTTATCAGTAATGGTAATTTCATTAAGAAAATTAAGATGAGAAATAGTACAGAATCTGAGTAGCCTCGGCTACCCCACTAGCATTTAAAACTTTTCCACCCATTAACTTTGCCTTTCAGCCTTACAACTGAGCCCAAAAACAATATTCCCTGTTAACCCCTTGCTTCTCTAGCTGATCTGCAAAACCATTTGCTGCTCTTGGAGTCGTCCTCTACAACCAGCTTTCTCACTCCTTAAAAACTTAATATGACAAAGCAATAAGCTTTTCAGTTCAGCATCTTCAGCTTTTATCAAATGACCCCTTAGAGTCTGGTTATTGTTGGCTATTTTTCTGGAATTCTATAGGTGTCTGCACAGTCCTACAAAGAGGTAGGCTGGCTATCACAAGTCATCAAGATTTGTTAAATAAGAAACTGTTGACTCGAGTTGTGCTGAGCTTTAACTACTCTCATGTAGGGGGGGGGTCTATACATCTACAACTGCTCTCTCTCTCTCTCCTTCTCTCTATTATTATTTTTTTTTGATGAATGATAGAAATTTTATTGTAACGTAAAAATATCACATGATTACAGATTACAACCAGAGGAGGCGCGAGATGCAGCCCCAACTGGAGACAATATTACAAATGAGCTCAGAATAATTCAGATTTATGCACCCCCCATTTTGCAAAAACCTCAGCCATCCCATTAACTGATCCCCTCTCCTTCTCTCTATTATCTTTGCTTTACTTTAAATATTTCTTCGAACTCCTCTTTTATAGTTGATACCTTATACACACATATCCCTATTGTTTTGCTGGCATGTTTTATCCTTTATTTTTTCTTGATTTTGAAACTTATATTCTGCCGTGGTTGTATTTCTCTCATTATGCACCCTCCATTTTGCAAAAACATCAGCCATCCCATTAACTGATCCCCTCTCCTTCTCTCTATTATCTTTGTTTTACTTTAAATATTTCTTTGAACTCCTCTTTTATAGTTGACACCTTATACAATGGGCATGGATCAGTTCATCTCATACATTTTACAAATTACAACATTTGTTAAATGATTCTCTACTTACAAATCTTTTTTTTTTGACCAATAACAGTAACTTTTATTAAAAATATATACAAGAGAGATACAGTATAAAGGGAGAGGTAAAAACACTTAACCCTACTTACAAATCTCAGTCATAGAAGCATGTGTTTACCTGTCATTGGTAAGGTTGTTGTAGAATGTGGATGACATTAGGAAGTGGTTTGCTAATTAGGCACTATGTTCTTTTTTTTTTTTTTTTTGAAAAGGTAAGGTAAGGATTCAATCAAATAAGAGAAAGAGCAAGAAAATACAAGTAAAAGGAGTAACCCCAAAACCACAGCTGGGCCACACACTGCAAGAGCCAAAAACACTTTGACCTTACAACAAAGTGAAAAACAAAACCAGACCACAAAGGCCAACCACGGGAAAGACCTTATGAGAAACCCCAAAAAAATCTGGGCCAGCCCCAACCCTCACCACCTCACTGGGCACTATGTTCTTTACCCTTTTTGATACTACATATAGGCCAGGTCTTTGGTATTTTTTAACTACTGGCTCATCAATCATCACTGTTAGAAGTGGGAGTGGTGATGATGTTTTACACTGAGAGCTTGTGGGAATTCTGAGATTCTAAATAAGTCTTCTTCACCATAAACATCTCTCTCTCTCTCTCTCCCCTCCCTTTCTTCTGTATGATTGTTTGTGTTTTCATGTAGTTTACCATGATATTAGGTTCCTAGAGATGGGAAGAAGATTGTGGTGGAGGTTGGCCTTGTTTGGAACTTTGAAATTTTGGTTGTATTGTATTTGAGAAGAATGGTGATTTTAAATTGGTGGTGGGGTGGCTGCAAAGTAAGGAAGCAAAGATGTGTATTTGTAAGAATGAGTTAAAGAAGTATAGATGGTTGATGAAAGATATGGAAGTGAGACAATTTGTATCAAAGGGTTCTCCATCCAGCCCTTGGATGGTGGCAGATGTAATTTTTATCCATTATTATTAATGAAAGTTACAGTTTCCCATAAAAAAATGGAAGTGAGACTACATTGGATTAAGAGGAGTACAAACACTATGGCTGGCACACTTGCTAAACAAGGGGTAGGGAGAGACCATTTTTTTGGCACAATTGTAAGGAAAAGAAGGGATTTTGGGGGAGAGATAAGAGGGTTTATCTTTTTATAAAAAAAATAGATAAAGAGGGTTTATCTCACAATGATTGCTATACTTTGATGTAACTGTATCTTATTTTTGTCTAATTTAATGAATTTTATGGTTATCAATAAAAAAAGAGAATGATAATTATTTGGGTTCATCTTCTTCATTGCTTTAACCTTGCAATTTTTCTATTTAACTGTTTTTTTCCTCTTCTTTCTGGCAGCACCTTATGCCTCCATATGGGACCCCACCACCTCCATATGTTGCAATGTATCCCCATGGCGGGTTATATGCTCATCCATCCATTCCTCCGGTATTTTATTAGAGTCCTGTGGTTCTCAAATTTTATTACTGAGCCTTCTCCATTATATTGGTCTCTACTAACTTTTTGTCTCATGTGATAATATTGAACAGGGTTCTCATCCATTTGCTCCTTATGCAATGCCTTCTCCAAATGGCAATGCTGATGCTTCTGTGAGTAATCCAAACCACTGTGTTATTAGTAGACCTCTTTCTATATGAACAAAAGTGAGAAATAATACATGAAATATCTTTTAGGGAACTGCCCCTGGTGGGGCAGAGGCTGATGGTAAGTCTTCAGATGGTAAGGAAAGAAGTTCACTCAAAAGATCAAAGGAAAGTTTAGGGAGTTTGAATGTGATTACAGGAAAGAACAATGATCTAAGTAAAACAGCAGGAGCATCTGCAAATGGGGTCTTTTCCCAAAGGTATGTTGGATATGCCAAGTGGGTTATTTTCACAACAAGGAAACTTAAAGCTGCCAAGTCCTGCTAACACTGACAACTAGAACTGATATTGAAATTAAACATTGTCTTCAGTGCTGAGAGTGCAAGTGATGGTTCAAGTGAAGGAAGTGATGCCAACTCTCAGAATGTATGTATCAGTAAGCTTTGGCTTTTTTATTCTGCATGCTTGTTTTCTCTTGATGGTCAGGTTTGAGCTTGCTTGATTAGGAGAAATGCTCTATTGTCTATACACTATAAATGTGTACCAATTCTAAAATTGAAATACAACATAATGCTCTATACAATATAATTGTGTACCTTATAAAATTTTTCATGGATTAGTCACTTTCTTTATTAACATACTGCTTAGCTTGGGATATTTACAATTCAATTATTTCTATTATTTTTTGGATATTCAGACTGAAACCTGAAACTACAAAAAGCTTAGGTGGGGAAATGTTGACTCAATACTTCCCAGTCCTAAGTACATATGTTGTAGGACAGAGGGTGAAAAGTCCTACTAGGATGAACATGATGGATGAAGAAGGGGAAATTTAAGAATTGTGTTGTTTTAGGTACCACTGTAAAAATGTTGTTTGGGTTTGGGTGTTATCCAGCTGATTTAGGGGGATGCAAGATTTGTTGTATCCATAATTATGATTCTGATATATCAATAAAATTTTACAGCTACTGATCAAGAAAGGGGAAATTAAGAATTTGAATTATGAGAGAAAGAGGTTCAGATTTGAAATAGAGAAGAAAGGTTGCACCTTTTAGAAGAAAAAGGGAGGAAAGAGCTTAGGGTAACACAATAGGAAACCTTTCTTTTTTTAATGATAAAAATAATCCATACGTAATCCATATGGACACTCAAATAAGGACATCTGCTCCTAACTTAATAACACTTAAGTCCTACTATCAGAAATTGATAATTTGTGGTGTTGTCTTCTTTGGCTAAAATTATCCCTTCCATACCATGGAGCCCCCTATCCAAAATACAATCAAGATAACTTTGACGGATGCAGCTTAGGGAATCTAGGTCCCTAAGCTGTTGTTGACTTGTTGACTATAGATATTCTGTTTGGGCAGAATTTTGGGAAGTACTACATGGATTAGGGATGGAAAAATTCCTAAACTTAAGACATTTATTGACTGAAGGAGACCCAATGTGATCAGAGATGGATTAGAAACAGTATTGCAGGGCCATGGAAGTATAGATACATTTTGGAGATCAATGAGTTGGTATTGGAGCTGGGTACTAGCTACAATTTGACACCAAACTCTGCCAAAAGTCTTGCTGATGGACTGGCCAAAGCAAGGGTAAAGAGATATAGACATATTGGGGTTTAATCCCTCAAGGGGGTACTTGTAAATTTATTATGACAGCAAGTTGAGGGTAGATGCGTACAAGGGGTGTATGGCACATTATGGTTGTATTTATTTTCCTTAACACATCATTACCAAAAAAGTTAATTTCTGTTTCTCATGTGTGCTCCTGTATGCTTAATTTTAAGAGTATGATGTTTTCACAAAGGAATTGTGATCTTGGCCTCTTCATGCCTTTTCCTTTTAAATATCGGTATATTTCCTATTATGTATGCCACCAGAGGGATTGTTTAAATCAGTTTTTCCAAGAAGGCCATGTCTAATGCAGGAGTATCATTGTTGAAGACATCCCAAGAGTTTGCAGTGGATATTCCTAGTACTATTTGTAGTTCATTGGTTGGGCCAGCAAGTACAACCACAATATATATTGCCTCTTTATGGCCTTTTGATTTGTGCATGGGTCCCACATGGAAAGTGATAGAATGTAATCCTTTCTTGAATGGAATTACTTGGTATTAGTCAGCCTGGGGTTCACATGCATATTAAATTGTCGCAGATAGCTTCCTTTTCTTTTTGGGGATAGGAATTATTAAGAACTAAGAAGCTTTGTGAACCTTTTATTTTATTTCCTAGAGTGAGTAAATCAATGTAGTTTTAGGAGTTATATTTTAAGGAGAAATCTTGCACAGGAAGTCATACATAGGTTAGGTGTTTATTTCTTTGTTTGCAAGATTCCATTATTACTGGGAATCTTTAAATACATGTACTAGCCTGTCCAGCTGAAAACATTTTTAGAAAAGGACAATACATTGGCTCTTCTAGTTAAGGTTGGGACACCTCTTTTATTTTATCAGCTTTTTAAGGCTCTTTATTTGTCATCAAACAACATTGTTATTTAGTGCTGCAACAATCAAATAAAGTTTGACCTGTTTAAGTGGTGTTGTCATATAAAATACAGTCACATGCCAGGTTAAATACCAGCACCAAATGTCTTAATTGGTGGTATATTGTTTGATTTAAGCCATTAGCGGTTACATAACTATTTGTATTAGCTCTATTTATTATTTTCTTTTGCTGTTAGCTGTTTGCTATATTTTCTGCTAGGACCATTTTACATTACTGCATGGGTTTGATCCTTAAGCTTTTTAAGTAGCTCGACTACCCTCCATTGTTGTCCTGCTTCAGCCACACTAAATACACTTACACTATTGATTGGGCAATCCTGGACTTGCTGCAAGTCAAAATGATGAGCAATATTAGATATCTGGCCAAGACAAAAATGAATAAAACTGTGCAGCTACAGCATTCTTGCCATCAACACCCCCTCTCCCCAACAATAAAAGCCAAAGGCTTGAAAAGTCTACATCAATCAGTAGATGATTCATGAGTATCCTATAATTATGGTGGATAACATTTTCCTCACCCTCCATTTATTTGATGCAATTGCTTATAGTTTCCTCCTTGGCATTGATGTATCATATCTATAAATTTATTGCTTGTGTGCAGGATTCACAACAGAAAGCCAGTGAGCAAGATTCTATGGAAGGTAGAATTATTGTTCCTTTCACTGTGGGAAACATTTTAACAGCCAATGCTATTATTAATGAGAATATAGAAAATATTACAATATATAGGGGTCACAGGTGAGGCATCTCAGAATGGCAATGCAGCACGTGGTCCTCTCAATGGAGTACCTCGTACTCCACCAAGTGCAATGTTAAATCCAGCAGTGGCCATAATGCCAATACCAGCAGGAGCACCTGGAATGGTTGCTGGTCCGGCTACAAACTTAAATATTGGAATGGACTACTGGGGTGCCCCAACATCTTCTATCCCTGTACTACGTGGAAAGGTCCCTTCTGCACCAGTTGCAGGAGGAATGGTGCCAACTGTTGTTGGATCCCGTGAGGGTGTGCAATCAGAGCTTTGGATGCAGGTTTGTCTTAAATCATTGACTTTCCAAGTTCAGGATTTAAATAAGTTGTCTCGTATTCTGTATGGCTTAACTATCTTAAGACAAAAAACATATAATTAGAGCTTCAATAACATTGTGGAAAATGGACCAGATTAGCTGGCTGAACCAAAATAAGATCATAACCTGGTTCGTTGAAAATTGGATTCAAGTGGTTCCAAGGCTAACCAACTTGGTTTAACCGAGGAGAATTGCAACTGTGCCCCTTTCTAGTTCCATGTCCTGTTTGATTTTGAAAATGTTGAATTCCAGTTGAAACTTTGCATTTGGTTTATGTGTTTCACTTTAGTTGCTTTCATTTATAGAACTTTATATTATGTAAGATTTGAATGATGTGATGCCTTTCTTTTATTTTTTTTAAATTAAGAGAGGAATGAATTGTGGGAGGAATTAGCAGCCACAAGGGGTTTATTTGGGGGGGGGGGGAGCTTTGTGCTTAGGGGGAGATTTTATTGTGATTGGGTTCTCTCATGAGACAAACAATCCTAACCACAATATCACTACTAGGATGAGAAAGTTCAATCTGTTTGTGGAATCGTATAAGTTGAGGGACCTCCCTTTGTTGCAAGCTAGATTTACTTGGTCCAACTTCTAAGCCATAAACTGTGCTCTAAACTGGATAGGTTTTTTGATTTCCTCAAGTTGGGAAGGTGGGTGGAGAGGAATGGTAGCTAGAGCATTACCCAGACCTACTTCTGATCACTGCCCTGTTAGGCTTTCCCAAGAGAGAATCAGTGGTGGACCTTGTCCCTTACGCTGAAATCTCTTCATGGCCATGCCCATATAAAAAAAAGAAAAAGAAAAACTCTTCAAGACCCCTTGAAGCAAGTCGAAACAAGCCCATGCCAGGAGTTTGAAGGCAGTGCCATTGACCTGAATTTTTTACTCTTAGGGGGCCGTTTTATGATCTTGGTCGTAGTTCATTCCATTTCAAGGCTGATGCTTAGAGATCAATTGTATTTTTTTTTTGTTTCTTCTTTAGTGGAAAAGTTGCTATCTGAGATCCTTTTTTTTGGGGATCAATAACTGCATCAATTCATTAAAATCAGCAAAGAGGTACAAGAGAATACCAATAAGAGAGGTAAACTCTCTTAACTCCCTTGGGGTTAACACTAATTGCATTGATTACAGTTTACAACAAAGCCCGGAAAAGTTGATATCTTCCCACCCCTTGTTTTTCTGAAGCATCAGCAAAATAATTAACATATCTTTTCACCCACTGAAACTTAACTTCCATGCCTTGTGTCACCCACTTAAACCTTCTTTTCTCATTAACATAGTTCCACCAACCAACCTCCTTTAGCAGCCATCACACTACTAGCTTTGAATCACCTTAGATGATCAGCCTCCTAATGTTTATTTTTTATTTTTATCAATAACTGTGAAATGTATTAATTAATATTAAGAAAATTACAAAGCAAGGGGGCTAAACAATCTTAGCTCCCTAGAACAATCAAAGGGCACCAAATACAATTACAATAAAGCCCAAAATAAAGAGTTTTTGTTCACCCCTTGCCTAGCTAAACCATCTGCCAGTGAGTTTGCCCTTCTCTTTACCCATTTGTACTGAATTTCAATATCCTTAGCCAGCCACTTAAATTTTCTTTTTTCATTGCTGTAATTCCATATCCTTGAGTTATCCTCTTTTAACCAGTTCACCACAACTTCAGTCTCCTTCGATGATCAGCTTACTAATTTGCAACTCCTCGACTCTTCGTACCCCTTCAAGAACTGCAAGTATCTCAGCCCTCAAAGAATCTCCTTCCCCAATTGGTCCTGAAAACATAGCTAACAGATTTCCATGTTCATCTCTTATTGCTCCCCCTATTCCCGATGGTCCTGGTCCTCCTGGATTACTCATACTGCTGCCATCAAAGTTCAGTTTAATAAAGCCGTTAGGTGGACTCCAGCAAGAATTTGATGCCTTCTTAGCTGAAGCTAATTCTGCAATTTCCTTCCAGTTTTTTAACATCTCATCTACTGAGAAATCTGCAAACAATGCCAAAGTTTTCTGCCAATGTATCACCCTAATCTGGATTAAGCCTCCTAATGTTTAATTCCTTTGCCCTTTGCGCACCTTCCATCACAACCACGATTTCAGTCAAAGAATCACCAAAACAATTGGATCTAAATAGAAAGCAATGATTCTTCTCTCCTTATTTCAAAACACACCTCCAATGCCTGAAAGACCTGGGTTCCCTTCACTACTACCATCAAAGTTAAACTTGATGAAACCACAATTTGGCGGGGATCAAGAAGGTTTGACGACTTTTTTAGAAGGTGCAGAACCAGACACTCCCTTCCACTTTCTAAGCAAATCAACCATAGGAATGTCCTCAAAACAGCTCAGGACTTCACCTAGTGGACTACTCCGACGGTAATGGTTTTGATGAGTTCGTCTCTACTTCTCTCTTTATCTGAGAAGACTCTTAGATTCCTTTCTTCCCAAACCGTCCAGAAAATAGTTGTTCTTGTCCACCTCCATAAGAACATTTGGCAGAGGGTTGCACCTGCATCCAAACAAAGAGAGAATTGGTTCCCAAATAACAGAAACAAAAGGGCAAGAGATTAATAAGTGATAGCAGGTCTCACCATTAGCCTTATAGAGAATGCACCAATGAGGGAAATGGCACCAATCACGTCTCTTAGTAAATCATAGGTGTTAATTCCTTCCAGAAGAGCTTCCCAACACAAACCACCAACATTAGGAGGAATAGGCTTGTTACAAACCTCCATAACCGGAAAGGGCAGCCTGACACTTTCAAGTGGTTGGATTAAAGCAGAAAAGAAAGAAGCACAAGAGAAGGACCCAGAGAAAGAGTCCAGATTTAGCTATCCAGCTTGGAGGGGTACACGAAAACCCCTTCTAGAAGATGAAGGCTGGCCAAGACATTATTTAGTTCAGAGTCTCTGAGACCCCTGCTAAATCCCAAGTTCCAATCGAGCCCGGAGATTGAGCTAGAGGGAACCAAGAACAAAAAGGGCTTGATCCTTTCCACCACAAAAAAGGCTTCATGTATTTGAAGGGTCCTGGTTTGTTATTTATTTTAAAAGTTAGTAGACCATCATTAGTGCACAAGCACTGATAAAAAGGTAATTTTGAAGTTAATAGACCATTATAAAGGTGAAAAACACATATGAACATATAAATGGTAATGAAAAAAGCCTACTTATAAAAGGTACACACTTTGGCTAAGCTGCAAAGTTCAGTACACCAGGAGTGTCTTTGAAAGGGGCTGTGGCTGGGTAAAAAGCAAGGTGCATGCCTAAAAATGCACCTGGGCACACCTTTTCAAACACTGTGTGGCCTCTCGATCACTGAACAACCCTCTTATTTTCCTTTGCACACAATTTTCCAATTTATAAGATAAATCATTTTTAGTGTTTCCTGGTTCCTATTAGAAGGTTCCACTTATCCTTTTAACTTTTGGTCACCTGCACGAGAGATTTGAAAACTGAGAAGAAATAAATTAGAAGATTGGTAAAAGAGGACACGATCAAGGTGATATGTCGGTATGTCCTAAAGATACTTTTCTATGCTAATATATATATTTTTTTAATATGTGCAAAACTCACTTGATTTTGGGCTGCCACTTGAGGTATAGATGGTTTATTGCTTATTGAGGTAAGATACAACCAAGCAATTTTCTTAATCCTTGGCAGACTACTTTACCTAAGGCATCTTGAGGTTAGAGATCCCTTCAAATACTTTATTTGACTGATGTAGGTTTCACCTCTTCTACTCCTTGGTGGGAAAGACCATTACCCAATTCTGATCCTGGCTATCTGGCTGGTCCTTAATCCTTGGAGAGAATAGTTATGCCATCAGCAAACTGAATATCCAACTTTGGAACTCCATTTTCTCCAACTCCAAAACTACTCAGTCTGAACACCTTTGGATGGGAAGCTCCATGCTACTTGGGGTGAGAAGATTGAAAGATATGTTTGCTCCCCTATTGACTATACCCTCTGATGTTTTTAGTCAACCAATAATAGATGAATAAGAATTTAAGCTAGATTAATATAGCTAGTAAAATCTAGCAAGTAGCATCTCCCAATAAAGCATGATCAGAATTTGTCTATCCAAGGGAAAGCCCCAAAAATATAGAAATTCCCTTTGTTTTTCTTCTCCTATGAGATGTTGTTGATTAGCTAGAAGATCTTTGGATCCAGCTGAATGAATTTTTTGTACTGCATGACAAGAAGCTTCTTTTAGATGGTCTATGTTCGATAAAGGACCCTAATGATCACAATCATCCACTTGGAGGTCTCCCTCAATTTCCATCTCTTGTACCAACTACCAATGATAGAAACTCAGCGTGAATAGAGTTACCAAAGCCAATAGGACCTGCACAAAATAAATGAATGTTTCCTGCATGATTGTGGAAAGATCCCCCTTGTGCCTGATCTTGCTGGATTGCTAAAGCTGCATACATCAAGGTTCATGCTATTAGGCTACCTTATTAAAAATAAAAATAAGAGTTCATGCTATTAGGCTGAGGAGGCATCTCAGAAATATGTGCTATAACTCTTATTGTTGATGACTACCAGCTCCTTATGACATCATCCCCATCGAAAATTCTAAATTCTTCCTTAATCTGTAATTTGTATCCAATGAATCATTCTCACTGTAATCAATTTAATCTGGCCTTGTCTTTGGGGTCTTGAGGTTATCTTTTATGGTCTCTGGCTCCTTCAAAAATTTGTTTGTGCATCTGCAAATAAAGGAGCCACGGGAGTTTTGAAGTCAAGGAGAACCTTTTCTCCAATCATGATCTGATACCAGCAGCTTACTAATGGGTTGGTCTTTTGTCCTTGGGAATTTTAAGGATTTTTGTAGAGGGACTTTCTTTTCAATTGGCATGTCATTTTTAGTGTAGATAGTGGTACATTGTAGAGCTACTGTCTCTTTTCACATACCTCTACATCTTTATATAATATATACATAATATATAATACATACCTCCACACATTTCTTTCTTCCAACATGAACTAAAGAAATTTATAGAAATTGCTTCGATACATCTGCACATGTTTTTCACTCTTCTTTGGGCGGAAGAGAAGAAAGAGGGCCTAAAGGGGCCTGCCTATTATCAGTTGGGGATGACCACCTGGAACCAAACAGAGCCAAAGAAAAAAAAATCCCAAATGTAATGATGAACAGGCTGGAAATTATCACGAGTCTAAACAAAATTGTGATCAACTTCAATGATGTTCTGAGAAACCTTGTAAAATCCCAAAACTGAACCATATCTCCTTGCCACCTTGTGGTTTTCTACTTGTCCGTTCTAATTATTCTCTTAACTTCCTATTTAAAGGCTTCTTCCAATTTGGGTGCCAAATTCTTTGTAATCTAAGCTATTCCAGGTCATCTAGGATGGGTCTTGGAGGGGGTGAGGAGTGCCACGAGCATTGATCTGGTTGTATCATTGAAGTTTCAACTATTGATGCAGTTGTATGATCTTGGACTAGCCAACTGGAAATTACTATTTTCTTGATAACCATTAGGTCTGAAGGGTGGCAGTGGGTCTGACATAGTCTAGTGATGGTGATAGAGGTGATTAGGGATGTGCACTTTGACATAGAATCATTTAAATCAGAAATGCCTGCAAAAAGCAGAAATTTCTAGAGAGAGAAAAACATGGAAATTCGATAAATTAGGTTTGGCTAGGAACATTTTGGAATGGTTTTAGGGGATCGCTTGAGGTTGAAAACTATTTGGGGGGAAGGGGGAGGGTGACAGCTAGGTTACAGGTGGACTTCAATATTTTTGAGGGTGTGAAATCTCTAGATTCTTCATGGACTTCTCTTCAGATGACTTTCTTAGAGGCTGGAGTGCAATAGCTGTTTCCTCCTCTTCATCTCCCTCTGTTCAAGAAACTTGGTCCCCTCCTTTACATGTTAGGGTGAAATTGAACTTTGATGGGAGCTCTGCAGGTAACCCAGGTCCTTCCGGAATTGGGGTTGTTTTTAGAGATGAGGAAGGAAGAGTGCTGGCCCTTTTCTTGGGCCCAATTGGGGTAGGAGATTCTCTAAGGGCAGAAGTGTTGGCTTTACTCCAAGGCCTCAAATTAGCTAAACAATGGAGACTGCAACAGTTAGAAGTGGAAGGAGACTCCAAATTGGTAATAGGTTAACTGCAAACAAGGAGCTTGTGCAGGTTAGGTGGACTAGAAGACCAGCAAATGGAATGGCTGATGTTTTAGCAAAACAGGGAGTAAATAGGGAGGATTTGTTCTAGGCTGTTTTGTAAGAATCTTTCTTGAGGGTTTACCACCCTTCTTCGGATGGTGACAGTTGTACTTCCTTAATTTAATCTAATCAATGAAAGTTATTGTTTCTTATAAAAAATATTTTTATTTTGAGAAAAGGTAAGGTAAAATTTTATTAATATTGAAATAAGATACAAAGAGATCCCCCAAGGAAAAAACCTTGACGGGGTCCAACTACTACAACCCCCGGATTACAGTTCCGAAAAGTTACTAGAGTTCAGTCTAGGCCCCAATTGTGAGGCCTGAATCCCTTTAGTTGCCGACACCCAGGAGATTAGTTTTCCAACTGATATCAAAATTAGATCCTCCTGAGTTCTAGTAATATTTTGGAATATCCATTTGTTCCTTTCTGTCCAAATGATGCCGATCACCGCAGCTGGAATGTATCTCCAAATAGCAGCTGCAAGTTTTGGCAGCCCCTTTAAATCCCAGCTCCAAAACAGTTCCTTTACTGAACCAGGCATCACCCATGCAAGGCCTAGTGCAGAGAAATAAGGGTTCCAAACTTTAACCGAAACATGGCAGTGAAGAAACAGGTGACAGGCTGACAGCTATCCTTAACACCTTGTCTACATTCACACTTCTGATCCTGGAGTTGGAAGACCATCTGAGCTCCAAATCCAGTGCCATCTATCTTCCTTGAGCAGGTCAGGAGACTGCATGGAGATCAGCTCAAATAGTTCTGCCAAAGCTGTAGTTTCCCAATCCTGGAAGTTCCTTCTAAATGAAGGACATCAAACAACAGAGCTGCCAACAACCTAAAAACATTCTGCCACCACCGCGTCTTGATTCTCAGCAAGATGAAATAACCGAGGGAATAATTCTGCTAAATAGGTCCCTCCACATCAAGGATCTTTCCAGAAAGATAACCTGTCACCTTTTCCCAGTTTTGGAGATAAGCCTCTACTAACACTTGGTAGGAGATCCATAATTTTCCTCCACAAAGAGCAGCCTAAAGAGGGGAGAGAAGAAGAGGCTATCCAGTCTCCTCTATCTGTGTTATATTTGGCTGCAATTATGGTCCTCCACCAGTTATTCCTTTCCATTCTGAATCTCCAGATCCACTTGCCTAGCATTGCCTTGTTGAAAAATTTGACCCGTCTGATTCCCAATCCTCCTTTTTATTTTGGGGAGCATACCTGATCCCAGTTCACCAAATGAATTATAGAGAGATTTCTCTCTTTAAATAGTTTGAGAAGGTTATGGATTTTGGACATAGGTTATGGTTGTATGCAACTCACCCAGAATCCCAGATTGATTCAGCAGTCCTTGACCAAGTTGATGGCCATTCTCAAGGTGCTGATGGCTTGCCAACGGCCAGAGTCTGACAACTGGCAAGATAGAACTAGATAGAGGAGAAAAAGAAGTGAAGCTATAAATCACCCCTAGAGGTCCTGAAATCACTTGGAATCTCGTCATAATAAAACATGGATGGAAACTAAAAGCAACTTTTGTTGATTTAAACAAGTAATAGGAAAATGTTGACTCCTAGATGTTAGTCAGACTTACATTTGGACTAAAGGTTAAATTACAAGCATTTCTTCTGTGCTTTGGGATGAGTTACACGTAGTCTCGTGTACATTCTTTTGTGAAACTTAAATATGTTGTACTTACATAAAATTATTGTGTGACACCTTCTGTCACCATTCTGTCAAAGGAGTGGAGGGTATATACCCATGCACATCTCACTTACTTTGGTTAGACTCTGTAAAAACCCTAAAATTCCCTTGTCTTTCTTTAATGATTTGACCTTGCCTGTTTAATATTTACTAAGAGATATTTCTAGTGATGATCTTCTAACTGAAGATCTAGTCCATTGATCTTGTGCCTCAAAACCAGTCAATTTATCTTGAAAGCCCACGTGATGTGCAATGGTTTCAATTAATCAAGGTCATGGAAATGGTATAGTAAATCAGTAAATGATATATCAAATGTCCCAATTTTCTAAAAAAATGTCATATAAATGATGTACCAAATTAACCCAAAGGTCTAGGCTATCAAAGTAGTCTCTTATGATCAGTGCCTTAATCTCAACTATTGAATTGATGTACTAAGATTCCACTGATCTTAGGCATCTAAAATATAACATATCAACACAAAAATCTAGGTTATCAATGTGGCCTTCTAATGTCAAATAATCATTTTCTGAGTAACTTATCAAGATTTCAATTAATATCATTTTATTCAAGTAATAAACCAAAATTTTTAAATAATCTGAGCCAAAGTAAAGTGATACACCTAATGAACCTAAGATCTAGAACATCAAAGTGGCATGGGTTTACATCTGGTACTTGAGGGTGGTTTGGGCAGGTTACCTTTTTAACCTGCTCCAGTTCCTTACCTGTTCAAACACTTCTCTCAACCTTCTCCAGAAAAAAAAGTACTTGTTCTCGGTTTTCCTTGTTATAGTTAGTGCATGTTGGATTCATAGCATGACCATGGTTTTAATCCTTTTGTTACTACTAGTAGTATTCTTTTCTGATTGGCAATAGCTACTAGTACTATCCTTGTTATAGTTAGTGCATGTTGGACTCATAGCATGACCACGGTTTTAATCCTTTTGTTACTACTAGTAGTATTCTTTTCTGATTGGCAATGGCTATTAGTACTATCATCATTATCTGATGCATCCTGTTTGATGCAGGACGAAAGGGAACTGAAAAGGCAGCGAAGAAAGCAGTCAAATAGGGAATCAGCCCGTCGATCCAGGTTGCGTAAGCAGGTATGAATTTCCTTCCAGTATTTGTTGTGGATTTCCTATTAGTTAATTTTGTGCTGCACTCTTATTTGTTAAAGTAATTACATGTGATTGTTTCAGGCGGAATGTGAAGAGCTAGCCCAAAGAGTTGAAATTCTAAGTGAGGAGAACTCCACACTTAGATCAGAAGTCACTCGTATCAGGAGCGAGTATGAGCAGCTTCTCTCTCAGAATGCTTCTCTGAAGGTGATGTTTGAATTTTGAAATATAGTTTGCCTTCATTCATTATTTATTTATTTTTCTTCCCATTGGAAGTTTAGATATGTAGTGTGTGGCATAATGACTTTAAGGAAGAAATGGCAGACATACAGGCACATTTCCCCCATTTTATTGGTTACTTTTCCCCAGTCTTGAACACGTTGAAAGTTATAACCTGATATGATGACCACTAGCTTGTTATTTCTCATGGTCCTTAACACACTCACAAATTTGGCACTTCTACTGAAAAGTCTATTCCATCTGATGGTTCTACTTTCGTGAATGTGTACCACATCTTGATATCAGTCTTTACACAGTTAATTGCTATCAGTTCTCAAACTGTTGTTATTGTCTTTTTTAATTTGGTAACTGTAAAGTTTTATTATATCATAAAAAAGAATGGAATTTTCTGCAACATGCTAATGGATTGTGTTAGCTGATAATATTCACAAAACTGGGAACTTACAGGAGAGGCTTGGTGAAACTCCCAAAGGACAAGAAGATTCAAGAACTGGCAAGAATGACCAACATTCAGGCAATGATAATCAACAAGCAGTCGAAACAGAGCTTGTACAGAGTGGTCACTAAGACCAAAAGCCCTGCTTCAAATCTGTTTGCAGGAGCATAAACCTAACCCATTAGCAGCAACAAAGTCCTTGTCTATGTAGTATGTCTTTTAAATTCATCAAGCTGACTTTCCAGTCATGGATAGCTGTTTCTACCATAACGTTACCATTCCATATTTTTTCTTTTGATAATTTTTTAATAGTCAAAGCCCTAGAAAGACATCTAGAGAGCAGTAACCTGTCTTAGACTTCTATGTCACAGGGAGGGTGGTAGGAACATTATCTTATCTGCTTTTACTTTTTTTGCCTTTGGTATTACTTATGGTTGATGCAATATATAGTTGAGGGGAGAGAATAATGAACTACTGAGTATGTTGTACTGTTTACAAAGTTTCTTTTAACATATCTGATGTTTTATTTTTTTTACTTGTACTATCTATACATTTGTTCAATGGAATAACTTGATGAATTTATGAAAGATCTCTTTAGGTGTTTCAGCGGATTTGTGTCTTGTAGTCAAAAATATCTTTTAGATATTATAAATTTGCATTACAACTTTGATGCCTCAGTTGATGTAATGGGTAAGTGATCGAGCCTCAAACTTGAGCTGTTTGGATACTTAGAAACACCTATTTAACTGGACGTTATATGCTTATCTTGTAACACTTTAGGTCTCATCATATGAAGTTACATTAGAGACATTGGGGATTTTAAATTATAAACTACATCTGTTGCATGAGTGGTTTGGATAAAATGGTTATTTAAAATGCATGGTGGACTCGCATCATAAAAAGGTAGTCTAGATGAGAAAAGACCTCTCAATTTTACACTTTTTATGCATTTCTTCAGAACAAAATTAAATTGCAACAACCAGGGTATATTTCACAGAGAACTCTAACATCGGCGAACTTTGCAAGGTGATATTTGACTTACAAATTTATTATCAGGTACCTATCAGATCCTTGGGTCCATAATTTTTTTTCAACTCAATCCACTTTTTTGGCGTAATTCTTGCAATCGCTCAATTATATCTGAAATCCCACTAGGGATAAATGTCATGCAGGTTGTTGAGAGGACTGATTGTATGAAAGGTAGGTGAGAATTGAGTAGAGCTTGATGCCTTGATCTATGTGAACTGATTACAAAATCAAGGGATGGACGGCAGCCATGGGTCTTGTAAACTAGAGATCTACTGGGAGTGTGGACAGCAATGTCCATGGAGTTGTAGGTGCTGATGCAGACTGAGGATTTGCAGAATAGCTGGTTGGTGGCGAAAATCTTGTTTTATGGTCTGATTCTATTGCCATCTGCACCCCATTTATGCCATGGCATCTAATTGGAGGCCCTGCTGTGCAGATATTTGGGCTAATGAGTTGTATGTTGTTGAGATAGAAGCTTCTTCTGCCATAGTTGGAGATCCTGAGCATGAAATCTCGCCTGTTGATTGGAACTATGGAGCCAGTTTGGAAATGATTTAGGTCATCAAAGAGCAATGGAGAAGCGATCAAGTGTCTCAATAGGAAGTTGAAAACCTCATCCTTAGGTATCGTGATCTTTGACAGGGAGTCTTGGGGCATCAGGAAGTGATATTTCCTGGTATTTTATTTCGGGGGATCATATTAATCAGCACGACGGAAGTGTAGTGGTTTGCAGTGACATCCCTTTGATTGCAACTAGGTCTTCATTTCTGGAGAGTCCATCTGCAGCCGTGACAGATAAGATTATATTCATTAGGAGGACCAGTACGGCAAAGTAAGTCATCATTGAGTGTTTCTTTGATAATGATAAGATATATGCTAACTCTTGTCAATGGTTCTTATCAGCAAATGATAAAATTTGGACCTTGGCACCTTTGTAGGTTAGCTTGGCAATGCATCATTTCTTCAACAACTATGTGACATGCCTAATGCATAATTGAGAGGCTTTTGCGGTAGGATTTATCAGTGTATGTGATAACACTCCCTATTAGAAACCGTTTCTCTTGTTTTTTTCTTACAGAACTTGGTGGGAATATGGGATCGTTATCTGTTCCTTAAACTCATCTGATCAAAATTTTGTGGTTCGTACGTTCTTGCCTTGTTAAATTGCTTGAATTGTTTTATTTTTTATTTTTAATCATCTGTTTTTTAGGTGGAGGTTGGGAATTGGCAAGTTTGGAATAACTTGATCGTATGGTTGTCATTTTGTGGAGATTTAACCCTACCTCCCACAGGGGGATAATTACGGGAACAGGTGTTTTTTTTTTTTTTTTTTTTGGTGCAATCATAAAAAAAGGGTTTCCCTTTCTGGCTCTAGTCCCATGCAGAAAAGGGACAATGACGGGTTTACCGTTTTACGAGCAATTATTTCACTTACCAAGTCCTAATCCATGGATAAGTAGCCAAAAAAAAGTCCAAATCCATGTATGTGGTTATGTCGTCTAAAATGATTTTCGGTTCAGGAAGATCTTTCCCATAATTTTCGCCAGTCATCTTTTGGTTTAGATCATCTAATTTTAAACTTGTAATCCATCTACTGATGCCATGGCTCATTTCACCGTCAAGATGGTAGAATCATGGATTATGGAACCGGATGGAAGTGGCACCGTGTAGGTAGATTACACTTCAGGAACACTTAAATCAAGAGCTATGGACTCGTTCATTTTATTAAAAGTCCCCTTGGACCCGAGGCTATGGCCAAGATGGGTTGATAAATTACTCCCAATTTGGTATCGTTCTTCAGGAACATTTCTTCCGCTTTGAAAGTTCTCGAGGCTGTTGTTTGGAAACGATGCAAATGGTGTGTAAATCTCGGTTTAGGTAAATTTGTACTCTGGTTCACTTTTGCCTGTGTTTGACAACATTACATTTATGCATTGACAAATAATAGAATAATGCATATTTATATTGATAATAAGATGTAAAATACATCAATAAAAAAGAAATAAATTTGCATTCAAGTGTGCTTTTGAAAAAAAAGCATATGTTTTATTGGACTTTATGTTTGCATCTATTACAACTAAAAGTTTGTTAGTTAAGAAGGTAAATTTGTTGGTGCAAAACTAACCCAATTTTGCAATTTATATGAACCGTTTTATATTCTACATAAAGGTTCAAAATATTGATATGTCCGATACGTTGATAAGGGCGTATCAATACACATTTTGGAGTTTTTTTTTTTATTATTTTTTTTCACAACCGGTTCAAGGGGGTCGGTTTAGGTCTCTACCCCCTGAACCGGTCAGACCTCCGATACACCCACTATAGGGGCGTATTGGAGGGGTATTGGAACGATATGTATCGGCCGATACGTGTCAATACTTTGAACCTTGCTCTGCATATTTGCATTCACACTTGTTTGCATCTTTTCCAAATGCAGCCTAAGGAATTTTATCAAAAAAAATGTTCTCAAGGAATAGAAATGTGTATGAGATGCCACTTACGCCTTGTTCAGTAAATAAATTCATTTATTTTAGTAAATGTGCTTTCTTAGAGAAATCTTCCTTGGGTTGCGTTTGGAATCAATGTGAAATGTCATTGGTGTAAAAGTACATTGATGATGTTTTACATCGAACTGTAAAAAGTGCCAATTTGAATTGCGAAAAGCAGAGTTTTACATCGGTTTATGATGTAAAAGTCCATTCCATCCAAATGTTGACAAAACCGAATTGGAGTGGAGTTTTACATCAATTTTGATTTACATTCCTTCCAAACATTAATAAAACCGAACTGGAGTACAGTTTTACGTCGATTTTGATTTACATTCCTTCCAAACATTGATAAAACCGAACTGGAGTAGAGTTTTACGTCGATCTTGATTTACACTCCTTCCAAACACCAACAAAACTGAATTGGCATAAATATTTACTTTACTTTCAAATGCATGATTGGAAACACTTGCTTGGATATGTATACTTTGCTAGTGTTCTTTTGTTTCTCAAGTAAATTTATACAATGACTATTTTAGTTGATAAAAATGTCATTGTTGAAGAGAAAATGTTGTTCTATCATGTGTTAATAAATTTTTGCTTGAACGGTACTTATCCAAGGTAATGAATTGCTTGGGACAAGGTTTAAAATTTCGCAACATATCGGCCCATATTGGTCGATATGTATTGTTTTGGAAGAGTCCTAATACATAAAACATATACAATTACATAGTTTCGTAGTTTTTCGTTTGTATTGCACCAATACGGGCTTGCATTGGCCTCATATTGGATCATTTCAGATATGTATCCGCCTATACAATCCTAAAACGGGTCAATACACATTATGTATCAGCTGAATTTAATTTCTCTCTCTTTTTTTAAAATTCAAATTTAAATTTAATTCATCTATTCTTGCTCTCATTTATATCAATTTTAATTAAGCCTTTAAATTTGAGATGTCATTAAATGTTAAAATTATTTAATTAAATGCTCATTTGAGTTACTTGTAATTTAATATGTCATTAAATGTTATTTAAGTCAAATAGTTTGTTAAAAATCATAAATTGAAGATAACAACAATCAATTAACTACTATGCTAACTTTAATTACTTATCATAACAACATTTTGGTTATGCTTAAAGTAATTTTTCTTGCCTTGGTAGATGTTTCCCAACAAATGCTAAAATTTATATAATAAAAAGATTAATATAAATTATATTTATTTATTAAAAATTAAGGTATACATGTATTAACTTATATACATAATAAATATAATCTAAATCTATATATAATAAATATTAATTAATAAATGGCTTCACAAATATTAAGTAATAAATATTAGTATATATATACACATACATTTTAGTTCTTATATTATCTTTTAACAATTACTAATTATGTCCCGATACTTTATATAGATCATTAAAGTATGGTTTTTATGTTTAAATAAATTAGTTATAAACTTATAATCACATAAAACTTATTTTATTTTATTAATATTTTTAATAATTTTTTTGTTTGATTTTCTAGCGTATCTATGTTTATCTTGATTTTTCGTTCATATTTATGTATTTCCAAAATGTATTTCAATGCATCTCTTAAAATTACCTTTCTGACACACCTTGCATTTTCCAATACTTTGAACCTTGGCTCATGAATTGTTATCTTTTGTGGGACCCATTGATATTGTAATAAAAACACAATTTTGTTTTGTTTTTATTGAACCCATCAACTTAACACAATTTTGGTGATGTCCAAGAATAGTCTAGATCTCCTGCCTACATCTACCCACATAATATCTCAGCCACACATGGGAAACATCTCATCCTTTTACACGGAAAGATGTTCCCAATGTACGGAGATAGTGTGTTGTGGATAGAGTTCTTGTGGGCAGGAGATCCGGAGTCCTAAGAACAAACTTCTAGAAACATGTTTTTAGGAAATCTAGGAAATGAGTTCATTTCTAAAATTTTTTCCAAAGAAATGCATGTGTTCCATGATTTCTTTTTATTTTTCTTTTAGTTTTTGATAGAACTAAAAAGGGACTACACAAAACCGGTAGCACGTTCCCAGACATCAAAGCAACAAATTACACTACAAAGGCCTAGGAATGGAGCTGTTAGAAACTTCGTTGGTGTGTTCCATGATGTGTTTTTAAATTTACTACATGTTTGTGTTGTTTTTTCACGTGGGAAGAGGGGCTGTGTGGTAATTTTGCATATCATAGACCTTGGGCATTAAGGTAAAAGAGCCATAGTGCCATAGTCTCATTCTCTCATGGTTGTATTTCATGCAAGGTTCAAAATATCAATACGTTCAATATGTCGGTAGAGGCGTATCATGGTATTAGACAGTATCGATAGTTTTTCTCAAATCTGGCTCAGAGGGACCGGTTTAAGGTCCGTTCACCCTTTGAATTGGTCGAAACCCTGATACACCTTCTATAGGAGCATATCGTAAAACCCCCGATACGATACATATCAGCCGATACGGCCCAATACATATCGATACTTTGAACCTTGGTTTCATGTTTTATTTCTCACATGCCTCTGCTCCAGCTTCCATGGTTGTCCCATAGTTCTCCTGCTTGGCAGTATGAAGTTGGCAAGCTTCTCGGCTATGCTACGTTTACCAAGGTCTGCCATGCTAGGATCACCAATACGCAGAGGACAGCGTTGCGAGGAAGTATTTCCAGCAATTGATGTTCACCATCAGGTTCTGTCATGTGAGAGAGGGGTTTTCCAGGAGTTTGGATCTGACAATGATACATTACTGACCACGTCACTCAGTCGCACATACGAAACATCAGTTGTGTTGTAGATGCCGATATTTTCAATGTACAGTTGGAATAACTGGATGAATGTATCCAACAATGTGTTGGGGTCAACAAATCTTATCTGCCGCGGGATCTTAAAGGGACAAACCTGTTTTTTAGGCGAAAACGGTAGCCTCAAGGTCGCCGATTAGACTCTCTAATCTTATCAGACAGGAGTTCCACTCCTTTCGTGGAATGCCAACCTATATTGCTCTCGAAGTTCCAAACAGAATGACTGAAAATGGATCATATACAATGGGATATATCCCTGCAGCCAAACTTCATTTTTTAATGTTCTATTTCTTTATAGCGACTGAAAGAAAATGTTCGGATTTCAATTGAATCTTATCTGCTGGATTAAGGTCAGACTGGGATTGGACTCATATACCGAATAATACGTTAAACTAAGTGATCAGAATATTGTATTATTAATAAAATGAACCAAATGATTTTTACAATGTATATCATGAATAAAAATGATTTAAAATTAACCTAAGCCGTTAATATATAAAGTTCAATCAATTTTTTCTAATCAATACACATAATAATTTTAAATATTATCAAATCAGAGTGTGGTAGAGAATCAGCTTTCATTTATCAAAATTCATGGGTGGGCTTTGATTGGTCAAAACTCTTTCTGTATTATATTTTTAAAGGGGTCGCAATACCCTTTAATATATATATATATATATATAAAATATTCTTTATTAAAAATTCTCAAATTACAAAAAAATGAAATCGTTCTATCCATCAGTTTTTTGGTCAGTGATTTGACTGTCCGATTCAAATAGATGGCCCATTCTGACATCGGTCAAC